TGAGTGTACATGCCCTATAGCAAATTAAAATGTATATATATTTTTTTCTTAGTTTTTTTGCTATCTCAAAATTTGTTAGAAAGTGAGAAATCACCCCCCAAAGGGAATGGCCACACCGCAATCACTTTTCCTCTGTTCTCCTCTTGGGATCTTGGGCACACACAGCACACGCACCCAGAGTGAGTTTAAACCACCAGGCCCAAGACTCAAACCGTAGTTGACTACATAGAAGTCCAGCAACATACTCGTTACACCAACTGCTGGTCCCCTAAAATTTGTTATTTTTCAAAATCACTCTAAATATCATTTGTGCCTAATAACATACGTATTTTGCTAAATTATATAACAATTTTGTATTGACACAAAATTCCTACTTATATAAACTTGTAGATCTGTTCTTTATTCCATTCATACTCACTGAAAGAATAGCTAAAAATGAGAATATTAGGATATATATGTGGGCCAGTTCAGTGGCACAGCAGTAATGTAATGCTTAAGTGAAGCTGGATTCACATGGAAGATCATGGGTTCAGTTTCCCCGTTGACTTGTATGTGCTGGGTGTACACACCCATGATCCTGATGAGCTGGCAAGGCTTGGCCTGAAACCCTGTTGAGGGTGTTTCTTTCTCTCTCTCATGAGAAGAAATAAATTTTTAAAAAGTTTTAAAGATAAATTTTATGGGGCCGGGAGGTGGCGTGGTGGTTAAAGGCACTGGACTCCCACATGGCCAACTGCAGTTCAAGTCCTAGACCTGACGGCTTGCTTTTGCACTTTCTCTCTCTTTCTCTGTCTCTCTATGATAGAACTGGAAAATAATAATAATAAATAAAGTTAAATAAAATAATTCTTTTTTAAAAAGATACATTTTGTAAATCTATGAAGATTTGTTTGATGAAATGGTCACAAACACATTACTTAGTAAGCTCTGTGATCCTCGGCTTACCCATCGGTAAAGGAGATAATAAAATCTGTCTCTAGGACTATGGAGGTCCATCTTAGGGCTGGGTGGCCAAGGGGGGGGAGGGGGGCTCAACAACACAGCTGATTGTCATGGCTGTCACTTGTTTCCTTGGCCATTACCCCATGACCGAACTAATCTGCATTGCCAGCTTACCTGCCTGCCTCTCGCTCCAGGGCCCCACACCATCCCTGAAGACAGGAATTCCATCTCTGCTATGTTGTCTTTCTCATGCCTTTACCTCCACCCACACTAATGCTCAGCTACTGTCAGCTGAGGGAATGGCTTGTTTCCTGGGGAAGGTAACACAAACTGATGACATACCTGGTCACTGCGGGCAACTCCATATCGCAGCTCATTCACGAAGTGCTCGCAGTTCTCACTGGTCAGCTTGTAGAGCACCTCCTGCCCCACCAGCTCTTCTGCCCGCTGGATGATTTTGCTGGGAGGCAGCGGCGAGTACTTGTCATCATGCTTGTTATTGACATGGTACTTATCTCTCCCGGCCACATCATACAGTAGTTCCTTCTTCACCACAGCCTTGTCAGTCAGGGCAGACATGATGCTGGCTGCACCGGCTCCTGCAATTTCACCTGCAGACCCACAAAGAGGAAACAGAGGGATTGGTCCTGGGCAGGACCACAGGGGTTCAGAGCTGGCCTCCTAGCTGGGCATCCACCCTTGGCATTATCCACACAGGAGGAACAAGATGAGGAAAAGTCAGACATCTGGCTATATGGCTTTGGAGAAGGCACTTGTGGTCTCTAGGTCCTGGTTCCTTCCCTGTAATGAGGAATAATGCCATTTCATAGTTTATTGTGATCCCTTTTTTAACCTAGAGCTGGCCCTGAAGTGACCCTAAGTGGCCCCTGAAGTGTCTCTGTTGATTATACAAATATGAGCCACGAGCATATACATCTTTCTGGAAGATTATGGTGTGAATCTGTTGTGATTCCGTCAGGGCCGCAGCTCTTTGACCATTGGAAGCTGGTGATTGCAGAAAACATGGCTGGGTTTTCAGCAGTCTCTACCCTTTTGGGAGCAAGGGAGCCAAACCCCACAGCTGGTCATCTAAATGTGATGCGAAGGAGGCCAAGTGGATATAAGAACACAGTGCTGGACGAATTCCAGGGGGCTACAAGGGGCAACAAAGCTCCAGAAATGAAGTGATCTTGAAGAATGGGTGTCTGGGTTCAACAGGAAGCCCAAGATGGTAATGAAGGAAAACAGATGCTCAAGGAGCACCACGAGAGGAAGCTCACTCTTCTCACAGATCCACTGTGTTCCTGCCAGATCAGGGTCCCCAGGGTGCAGTAGCAGCACCCAATTAAATTGGGTAGGACCAGTCTTCAACTGTGAAACCTTGTGACAGCAACAGGCAATGTCAGGAGGGGCTGATCAGATACCAGGCCATGCTCTGCCTGGTTTTTCATAAAAGACAAAAGTGCTTCACCTTGGGGACCAGCAGTTAGCATAATGGCTATGTCGCTGGACTCCCACGTAGCCGACTGCAGTTCGAGTCCTGGACCTGGTGGCTTAAACTCACGCCGGGGGCATGTGCGTGCGTGCCCAAGATCCCTAGAGGAGAATGGAGGAGAAGGGATTGCAGTATGGCCATCTCCCCTGGGGGGTGACTTCTCGCTTTCTGTCTCTCTGCCTCTCTCTGTCTTTCTAGCTAATGCACACACCCTATAGCAAAACCTCTCCAAAAAAATTAAAAAGTGCTTCATCTTAAGCATGACTCAGAGATTTTAGAAAATCAGGGCAATTCAGACTTGCTAGGAATAGGGCAGGTAGTGCTTGAGGCAATCAATAAAGAAAATAAAAGAGCAGGTGGATGTTGTCATCCACTGGAGCCTTCCACTTGGGGCACATCAAGTTCAAGACACTAATTACACACTCACGAGGAGATGCCACATGGCATCAAGAAGTTATACAAGCCTGGGAACCAGCAGTTAGCACAATGGCTATGTCACTGGACTCCCACGTAGTCGACCGCAGTTCGCGTCCCGGACCCGGTGGCTTAAAACTCACGCCGGGCACGTGTGCGTGCGTGCCCAGGATCCCAAGAGGAGCTTGGAGGAGAAGGGATTGCGGCGTGCCCATCCCCTCTGGGGGGTGATTTCTCACTTTCTGTCTCTCTGTCTCTGTCTGTCTCTGTCTTTCTGGCGAGTACATGCACCCTATAGCAAAAAAAAAAAAAAAAACTCTCCGAAAAAAAAAGAAGTTATACAAGCCTGAATCTGAGAGGGAGGTCTAAGTAGAAAGTATGTGCTTAGGAGATATAGACAAATAGAAGGTACTGGAAGCCAAAAGGCCTAAGAAGGTTACCTTAACTTCATTTAGGGATATGGGAGCAGAAGGGGAACCCACACAAGAGACTAAGAAGAAAGGGCCCAATGGGAGAGAAGAAAGACAGGTACCAGGTGAGGAGCCGACAGATATCACTCATGGCAAATGCTACAAGAGAAGCCAAGTAAGCTGTGACCTGAATATTGACTTTGGCTTTGGCTTTGTCAAGATGTCTTCTTCTCTAGCCTTGTTAAGAGCAGCTCTAGCAAAAAAAAAAAAAAGAAAGAAAGAAAGAAAAGAAAAGAAAAAACAACCTGGGAGGAAGTGACTGAAGAGAGAATGAAAAGTGAGGAAACCACAGATGGCCACGCAGAGAAAGCCACAATGAGATCTGCTCTGTGGGGTTAACTAGAGAAGGTATGAAGTCCATTTGTTTGCTCGCTTTATCATCAGGAGATAATATAGTTGTTTCTATGTCAATAGGAATGAACCAGTCAAAAGAGATGATAATACAGAAAAAGATGGGAAATTTGAGGAACAAAGTCTTACAAAAGTAGGAGGACAGGGTCCAGGTCCACACATTACAACTAGGTTTTAGAAGTATAGGGGCACTTTTTGCATTTTAACAGAAGAAAAGGCAGTTTATGTGGATGCTGAAATTGATGCTTTGGTTAATAGAGGGTGTGGGAAACGACACCTACTCTGGTCAGTTCTGATTTCTCTATCAGTACAAGGCGACTTCAAAAAGTTCATGGGAAATGGAATTAAATAGCAAGTTCATTTTGGTGGAAAAAATTCAATTCCATGCAGTTTTTTCATAACATACATTTTCCATAAACTTTTTAAAGGCCCCCCTCATACAGGTAAGGTCAATAGTTAAAAGTAAAGGGGTTAGTCAAAGGCATATTTGAGAATGTCCACAGCATAACTGTCAAAAACTAAAACCAACCTGGTGTCAGAAGAACAGATGCAAACTGTGGTAAGTCGTTTCTTTACAAAAAAAACCCACCCCAGGGGAAAAGGCCTGCCACTACACACAGCGCGATGGCTCTCCCGAGCATAACGTTGAGGGAAAAAAGCCAGGCACAGAAGAGCACAGACTGTGATTCCTGTTCCAGGAAATTCTAGACAGACAAAAAAAGGCTATGGCAAGAAAAACAACAGGGAGGCTGGCAAGTTTGATTCCTGTTCCAGGAAATTCTAGACAGACATAAAAAGGCTATGGCAAGATAAACAACAGGGAGGTTGGCAAGTTGCATGGTGATTAGGGGCACGGAACTCCCACATGGCTGACTGCAGTTTGAGTCTGTACTTGGTAGCCTGTTTTCTCACTTTCCCTCTCTCCATCTCTGTCTCTCTCTGGTCAAATTTTAAAATAATAATGATAAATAAAGTCAATAAGATAATTCTAAAAAAAGAGAGAGAGAGATCAGCAGTTAGCATAGTGGCTATGTTGCTGGACTCCTACTATGTTGCTGGACTCCCGAGTAGTCAACTCCGGTTCCAGTTCCGGACCTGGTGGCTTAAACTCACGCCGGGCGGTGTGCATGCATCCCCAAGATCCTGAGAGGAGAATGGAGGAGAAGGGACTGCAGTGTGACCATCCCCCCTGGGGGGTGATTTCTTGCTTTCTGTCTCTCTGTCTCTCTCTGTCTTTCTGGCGAGTGCACGTACCCTACAGCAAAAACCTCTTCAGAAAAAAAACAGCGAGAGAGAGAGAGAAATAACTGGGTCACGGGAAAAGTCATGGCACATTTTTACATAGAAAAACACATCATGATGGGGCCAGCAGGGGGCGTGGTGAAAAACACATCATGACTTTTCTGCAACCTAACAGAATCACTCTAATATAAATGGGACATCATAGAGACCTAAGAGAGTCTTTTAGAACAGTAAGAATATTCTAGATCAGAACTGGCTCCCTGTCTTATGCATGGATTTTTGTCTTAATTGCCAAAGGACATATGTACTTGCTAGAGAGAGATGAGGGGTGGAGAGAGTACCCTCATGGAGCAAGTCACACTAAAATCCTTTCTCCTCCATTTTGCCATTCTGTTGAGATTTGAGGCTTATATGCAAAATGCACCCAACATTTTTCAAGTCTCTGGGGCTGGGATTTGATCCATGGTTGCCAATGTGGAATCTGACTCCCTTAACACCTGGCTACAGGGCCAGCCTGAATTTTTTTAATTCTTTGACTGTATTCTTTACTATTTGTGTACTTTGCTATATGTGTGTTATATCACAATTTAAGTAAGAGGTTTAAGAAAGGGAGTAGAGAATTCTTATTATTCTCCTAGTTTACAAGAAACCAAGGCTAGAGAGTAGAAACTGAATTCATAATCAAGTCTGTCTACCCAAACATTTGTGCTCTTTCCAGAAGTTTTATGCTGAAGCAGAGCTGCCCTTTTAGAGCCTAGCTCTGTCCCTCTGCAAAAACCCCCTGGGTTTTCCAAGAAGTAGTTTTAAAACCACACACACACACACACACACACACACACACACACAAAGCCACACACACAAAAAGCCACACCAAACTGTCACACACCAAACTGTCTTCTAATACTGAAGAACAAACCACCCATCAGAGAACAAGGGGAATGCCCGGGTCACCTGTTAGTCATCATATCCCTTCCCCCCACCCCCCGCATTACCCTTCCCAGCCCCTGGGCCCAGCACAGCGTTGACCCTGAGTGCCCTTACTTGGGGGAGCCAGGTGGATCACATATCCATCACCAATGTAGATGGCCCAGTGTCTGTAGAAAGGGCGGAAAATCTCAATCAGGTCTCCAGGCTTGGGCTCTGGCTGCAAAACCGAAGACAGAGCTGTTAGAGGTGGACGAAACCTTGGAAACAAGGGCAGGATTCAGTTGGGCAGGACTGCTGAACGGCCCCTAGGTACCAGCTCAACAGAACGTGTGTCCCGAGCTCTGCCCTGCCAGCCTCATGTTGGTCTGACTTCACAAGGACTACAGGCCCTACTCCCCTGCCGTTCCAAACTGCCAAAGACAAACCTAAAATGTGTCTTTGTGGGACAGAGGAGAGGGATTTAGGAGTGAAGCAGGAGAAAACTAGGAAATGGAAGCGAGTAAAGGGGCTGGAACATCTGCCTATGTGGCTAGATAGAAAAACCTGATGAGGGCAGAAAGTTCCCCGCCCAAGGTAATGTTAGCCAAGAGATTAGTGGGGGATATCTAGCTGAGTAAGCCACATTTGATAGAGCCAATGAGATGAAGCAGTGGGTCCAGTCACATTTGATAGAGCCAATGAGATGAAGCCGTGGGCCCAGCCACATTTGATAGAGCCAATGAGATGAGGATAGTCAGTGGGTCGTTCCTGCCTCCTCCTACCAGCTCCTACCTCTCAGGAGTGTACTTTCATTTTTACTTAATAAACTAGTTTTTCCTTTCACTGTTGTGGTTTGTACAATTCTTTGTTCAAAACACTAAGAACCTGAGCATCATCATAGAAGCCATCCTGGAACAGGAGCCACCACCCCCCCACCACCCCCAGGGGTGCTTTTTCACATGAGTGCATATGCCCTTTGGCAAATTTAAAAAAAAAGAAAGAAAGAAAAAGAAAAGAAAGAGAAGAAAACAGAGGAGAAAAGAAAGAAAAAAGAAAAGGAAAGAAAACAGGAAAGAAAAAAATTCCTTTGTTAGCTGGAGTCTCTGTGTCATTACTATTTCTAGAAATATCATTCATTTAACTCTTTGAGCCAAGCAGTCTGGTAAGTATTTTACAGGCATAGCTCAGAAAGCCCACATACAGTCTAAGGTGGGCCCCATTATGAACCATCTTATGAACGAGGCAATCAAGGCTCAGAGACATGAAAGAACTGCACAAAGTCCCACAGCTCATGAGTGACATGGGAATGCCAAGGTGGCTGATTCCTGCCCCAAGTTCTTGACCACACACTGACTGTTAGGCAATTGTTAGACCAGAGCTGCCCAACTGGAGCTGCCAAACCTGAATGGCAACCCAGGACCTCTGTCTAGCCTGGAAGAGTAAATGTGTGAGTAAGGGACTGTGTGTGTGTCAGACTAAGTGCATGAGTGTGTGAGGAGTGAATGTGCACGTGTGAGACTGTGTATGCATGTGTGTGAGAGCATATGTGTGTGTGTATGCATGTGTGTGAGGAGGGGTGAGGTAGGAAGCGTGCTATAAATGTTCCCCAGATTCTAGCCCTGTTAGCAGAGTGCAGGGCCAAGTCTGAGAAGCCCAACTTCGGAGAGGCCCAAGGTCACTTTCACTCAACATTTCTGGTATCCCAGAATCACACCTCCATGCTAAGTGCTGCAGGAAGGAGAACTATGACTGATCAGAATCGGGAGTTAAGAGCCTTCTCTTGTCCTGGCCAATCTTAACTCTTTAACAAGCAAGGCAATCCACATTTTCAGACACCTAGAGACAGAGCCCACACAGGGTCGACTCTAGCCCTTGGTCCTTGCCCGAATCTTTTTTTTTTTTTTTTAGAGAGGTTTTTGCTATAGGCCGTGTGCACTCGCCAGACAGACAGAGACAGACAGACAGAAAGCGAGAAATCACCCCCCAGGGGGTATGGCCACGCCGCAATCCCCTCTCCTCCATTCTCCTCTTGGGATCTTGGGCACGCACGCACACGCGCCCGGCGTGAGTTTAAGCCACCGGGTCCAGGACTCAAACCGCGGTTGACTACGTGGGAGTCCAGCGACATAGCCATTATGCTAACTGCTGGTCCCCTTGCCCGAATCTTCATCTACAGGGAGGCCGGCTGGAGCCGCCTCCAGTGCAGTCGTGGGGTGGGACTCTGGCCTGCTGACTCCCAGGGGCAAACTCTTAGGGTTTGCCCACCTCTCACCACCAGGTTCCTTGAGCCCACCTGAGAGATTCCATCAGGGATGAAGAGAGGGCCTTGACGGTCTTCCCAGGGATAAGAATGGTGGGCAGTGAGAATAGCCAATCACAACTCTGCAATACCTATGAAGCAGGCTCAATGGGCAGTTCATTGAGTCTTCATAAACCATTAAAACTGCAAACAAATATCATCCATGGCAGGAAAAATATCTTCCCGAGGAAAGTTGACACATAAATTGTGTATGATGTAGCTTCCAAAAACAGACACCCAGTTCTTACCAAGAACCTATTTCAGAACAATGAACAATGGTTACAATGTATGAATTTCATTTGTTTTCCAGAACAAAAGAAAAAAAAATTGTTTAGTCAGAGTTAAAAGGTCTTCAAGGATCTTTTAAAAGGGATTTAATCGAGGGGATTTCCCCAAATGGGGCCAGGACACAGGACATGGCAGGGGCCCCACTGTGGGGAAGACTGCACCTTGGAAAAAGACTGAATCGGTATTATGATGTCAGTAAGAAGCAGCCAGTGGATCCATGGGCCCAAGGAGTTCTCTGTGTTCCAGACAAATATCAATGATGAAAAGAGATCTACACATAGAAACATGCAGACATTTTATAAAATGAGAGCTTATTGTAATGACAGAAAATAATTCAAAATACCATAATAGTTCTATCAGAAAAAAAAAAGTTATCTACAAAATAGCAAAAAACGTCATTCCCGAACAGCTATATACAATGTGATCCTATTTATAAGTCATTCCAGAATAGGCACAACTACAGGACAGAAAATTCATCAGTGATCTCCAGAGACTGGGGTAAGGAGAAAGACTGACGACAAAAGGCATGAGGGAATTCGGGAGGTAATTAAACTTTCTATGCCATTCGATATCTTGATTGTGGAGACGGT